ATTAGCGCTGCGCCATAATTTACTCGATCATGCGCGAAATGTTCGATAGCCTTCTGGATAATCCTTCGGCGCTGTACGAGATGCGCTATCCCTCTCGCGAATGACCACTGATTTTCCCGTGATTATGCGTACGACAGCGAAAAAGAAAAAAAGTATTCATTGCAGGAGAGCGATATACCTCATCGGGTACATCGATAAATTCCGACTGTAATGAACGGGCTTATCTTACGGTCGCTTATCGACTTGGCACTCTTGCCCAAGTGGATTTGCCTAATTAAAGGAACAAGATGTAAACGATTTTATTTCCATCACGGTTCGTGCTATCTGCCGACTACTTGGAACGAATAAATGGATTCCTCTGTATATATCTCTCTTTCTTTCTTTCTTTCTCTCTGTCTCGTACACAGAGCCCGTACAACGCGCTTAAACCACCACGACCAGGTGCACCTGTCAAGTGCTCTATGCCGTTAGAGTTTGATTAATGACAGAAATATTTCTTGAATAAACAACAAGGCGCGCTTAAACTCGCTGAACAGATTGACATTCGGATATACTTGGAAATAGCAACAATTTAGATTTAACGATGAAGATAACTCGCGACTGCGCGGGCAATCGCTCGGAAAATGGTAATTCGGAATTAACCTTCGTTGATCTAATGTTAACACTTTAAATTTAAATTACCGAGGCGAAAAATTTTCATAAGCGTGCTCTCTAATGAATATGGAAACGATCTCTTGTCTTTCTCCTAATTTTTCTTTTAAACGATTACGTTAATATTAATATATTCGAATATATTTATGTATTAATTTTATTAATAAATATATATATTATTATTATATATTTTATGAATATATTTACGGCTCTTTGTGAGTCTATTTTGAACAATAATTAAAAATATTGAATAGAGAGAAGCTAATTAGAGGGAATGTAATCAACATCGATCAGGAGTCGACGAGTCTTCGGAAGTAAGCCGCACGAGAGTAAGTTTGCCCGCGGAGGTGTCTTGTCGAGATTGTCGCGAATAGAATCATGCAAGCTGTGCCCTCGCTTCGCCTCACCTCGCTACGCCTCACCGCGTTCTGAACCTCTTTGCATATACATTCTGTAAGATTACTTTGTGCGGTTTACACCCTGCGATCTACCCTCCCTTCACCTTCCTCCCCCTCCGGCTGTCTCCTTCAGCAGCACGCTGCGCTTCAAGTCCTCGCCTCCTTTCGTTGCCGAGAGGCAAACCACCCTCCAAGTTTCATCCAAGGTCCCTAATGTATGCGGAACTATACGGCAGAAATTCCAAGTTCGGCACGGCCGTGTTAGGCGCCTTTACGATGAGTTTCCATCCCCTTTCCCTCCCCGCCTCGTTCCTCGCTCTTTGCCGCACGGAAAGGGACGAGGCTCGCCCGACAAGACTCGCCCTCCGTATAAGAGGCGAACACGCGTGATCCTAATTAGAACGCGTCCTCGAGGTGCCGAAGTAAAAGCGAGCTTCTTGTTAGGCGTCTCGACGAAGGCGCCGTCGGCATTCACATATACATGCAAGTGTACAAGCGTGGCGCACTTTCGACGCTGACGCATCCGTATAAAAGAGCTCTCTCTCTTGTTTCACCCTACTTTGCCAATATTTCCAAATGAACTCGAGTCTTAACTTCCACGATATGTGACGCTATTTCGCGAGAACGTTAGACGTGGCGACCGGCGAAACAAGCTCAAAAATATGGAATCTTTTATACACGGAGCTATAATATCTTATTATTATTCTCGCGTCAGAGAGAAACGTTTACCGAGGTAACCGCGAGAATTCTCACAGGACGACAGGTAAAATGTCTCGCCACCCGCGCTCTTTTCTATTTACATAGAAAAGAAGCTGCCTCCGTCGTCGGAAAAGCATAACGCCTACAAACGGCCGCATTAGTCGCGTATTACACTGGTGTAATACATTATGTTTCGGTGATTAAATAAGTCTCTGAAGAAGCTTTCTGAATACTAATAAGAACGAGGCATATGTGACACGAATGAGGATTCTTATTTTATATATATTTGCAAGTAATTATGAAAATATAATTGTAATTGAAAATTATTTTTAATTGTCTAGAATTTTATTAAATGCGTCTCTGAAGAAGCTCTCTGTCGAATATTAACAAAAACAAGGCGTATGTGACACGAATGAGGATTCTTATATACATTTGCAAGTAATTATAAAAATATAATTATTTAGAGTTTGATTAATGACAGAAATATTTCTTGAATAAACAACAAGGCGCGCTTAAACTCGCTGAACAGATTGACATTCGGATATACTTGGAAATAGCAACAATTTAGATTTAACGATGAAGATAACTCGCGACTGCGCGGGCAATCGCTCGGAAAATGGTAATTCGGAATTAACCTTCGTTGATCTAATGTTAACACTTTAAATTTAAATTACCGAGGCGAAAAATTTTCATAAGCGTGCTCTCTAATGAATATGGAAACGATCTCTTGTCTTTCTCCTAATTTTTCTTTTAAACGATTACGTTAATATTAATGTATTCGAATATATTTATGTATTAATTTTATTAATAAATATATATATTATTATTATATATTTTATGAATATATTTACGGCTCTTTGTGAGTCTATTTTGAACAATATGAAAATTATCGTTAATTGTCTAGAATTTTATTAAATGCGTCTCTGAAGAAGCTCTGTCGAATACTAACAAGAACGAGGCGTATGTGACACAAATAAGAATTCTTATATACATTTGCAAGTAATTATGAAAATATAATTGTAATTGAAAATTATCGTTAATTGTCTAGACTTTTATTAAATGCGTCTCTGAAGAAGCTCTGTCGAATATTAACAAAAACAAGGTGTATGTGACACGAATGAGGATTCTTATATACATTTGCAAGTAATTATGAAAATATAATTATAATTGAAAATTATCGTTAATTGTCTAGAATTTCATTAAATGCGTCTCTGAAGAAGCTCTCTGTCGAATACTAACAAGAACGAGGCGTATGTGACACAAATGAGAATTCTTATATACATTTACAAGTAATTATGAAAATATAATTATAATTAAAAATTATCGTTAATTGTCTAGAATTTTGCATTCAAACATCTCCTCTTTGCATCTCTGATCCCGCCAGTAGATTTTCCTGTCAATCATCGTGACGTACCTGTCGCGCATTCAATGACTCGTAATCAGCTGTTCGAAGAAAATATGACGGGAAACCATGCGAAACGCGGCGACGTGTTGGTCGGCCAACGGCACGCGACACCGCGTTAGACGAAACGGTCATTAGGGATGCAAAGGGCGGAATCGCCCGGCTACGTTGCATAATAATTACCGTAAAGAAAGCCCGACGAGAGAGGTGGCGGCTCTCACCCACGGGCTTCCCAGGAGATTACAGGATGTCCGGAGGCGAGAGAGGATTCTCCCCGCGTGGCCCGAAAACCCTTTCCGCGCTTACAAGCAATAAAAATTAACGGCCGGCCCGGTCGAAGTCGTATATAAAAGGCGGCCCGCCAGGACCGGACTTGTGGCGCGCGAGTAATACATAATTATCATGGGCCATTCAATGTATATAACACGCGGCAATAAACAATTTCCCTTTGTTACGACGAAAGAGTCGTATAAAATAATGTGTCAAAATCTTTCGGTGTCCGTTAACGTTTTGTCTAAATTTTCGTTCGCGAAAGGGAGATCGAGCGTGCACAGGATTATGCGATAAATATATTACGATTTTCTTACGATGACGCGATAGATCTCTGACGTAATGATAAAAAAAGTTTTAGCACCATTTCTCATATTACAAAATCAAAAGGCCAGAATATCTTATTAGTAAAAATTTTTTTAAATGGATAAATATATCCTAAATGCATATGAGATGTTCGATTTCCTTAGAAACGAATTATGCCGCAGCCACGCGCGAACGGCGAGTAATCTCGGACGGAGGAAGTATAGAACAGCCGCATCCTTCCTCCTTCGTAGAGAGTCTTAAACGGTCGGCGTCTTTAATCGCGAGCCCCGATAAACATATCGGAATTATGATGGAGGATCGGGCCGCGTAAAAGAAACGAGCGGCAGGCACATCCTGCCGGTGCCAGCTTTGTTGGTCGCGACGGAAAGGAGCCCAGGATGCCCCGCTCTTCTCCCCAAGATCTCGCGATCCCTCCTCCTCCACTTTTAATTTCCAGGCGCGGCTAATTATGATTTACGGCAACATCGGCGCAACATCCTGATCGCTACGCGAGATACCGCCCGCAGGATATTCAAATGCGATGAATATTGCTCGCCGCGATAAACGGCGCACGAACGACGAGAGAGAGAGAGAGAGACGCTAGAGAAAAGGAGACCGAGAGATAGAGGTCGCGAGACGGAGTGTAAGTGAGAAAGACAGAGAGGGAACCATCGCGAGAGCGCGTGTAAAGGATACGGAGAAAGGATTCCTAGTAGCCTACTCGGTATGCAAGATGAGCAGTCAGCCTTGTACACACCGCATCCTTCCTCCCGACCCCTCAAGGGGATGTATAAGACATCCTCGCGCGTGGATCGTTCCGTGCCGAATCGCTCGTTCGGAGTATTTAAAGCCCGTCGGGATAATTCAATACCCTCCCTCCCTTCCCTTTGTGTCTCCGCGTGTGTTTGGAAAACATAAGCGGCGGGCGATGTCACAATACGACGACTGCCATGATTTAACTCTCGCGAGGAAGCCGAGGTGTAACGACCGCTTTCGCCAGAAGGCGGTATATAATTGACCCCAAAAACGCGCAATAGTTAAGTGCTATAAACACCAATATCCTTTTATCTCTTCGCCAAGATATCTGACTCTTCTCTGTCTTGTATGATTTTTTAGAATTATATTATATTATATTAAAATGATATTTATTATTTACATCAAATATAGAGAATCTTTCCTTGCCTTCCCCCGAAATTTACTATTTGCAACTTAAATCTGTGTCGTTCGCAACACTTTAATTGCAAGAGAAAAAAACAATATAAAAGATCTCTTACCTTATCGGCTCGTTTCCTAGCGGAGGTAGTCGTGTCATTAGGCCTGGCAGGAAGATCGGTTTCGCTGGCCATCCGGTTGAAACGTTGCATCCGCTCGCGAACGCTGAGCTGCTCAGCCGAGGTGGGATTTGTCGTCGTTGTTGTTTCATCCTCCTATAATTTAACAGTTTCGATTTCACAGAATAGTCCTGCATTTTAATTACAACTAATTACCAAGAATACACAGTCGAAGTGTAACACACACACGAGAAATGTAAATAAATTATAGATAAATAGATAATCTTGATAAAAAAATGATACTGAATTAATAAAATAGCAGAAATCATCTGCACGTAAATTTAAAAAAAAATTTCTATGATATCCTCGTAATAAATTTGCAGTTATCATCTATTAACTTTTTCATCTAAAGTTTTCAATATTTACTGACACTATAACTAGATATTTTATTGTGCTACATCGAATATTGCTTTCGATATTACATAAATTATAAACATGAAAAGTAATCGTTATCGTCGGCGTTATCTTTCACGTTGTGCAATGGTGACACCGATCGATAAAACCAATCGATAAAAATCTCACCTTTATGACGGTTTCCGAGAAGCCACTCTTATTCTTGTCAACATTTTCCTTGTTCTCCAGCTTAAGTTTGTCCTGACTTTTGCGTCGCGGTGGAACAGGTGGTACCGACGGGCTGGACGTATCCGGATTATCGTTTTTCTGGTCGTTTTCGCGACCCGAGATTGGCATCGCAGACTCCTCGAGACTCGCGTGAGAACTGTTCGACGACGGACTGAGGGGCGCGGGGGGTGGCGGCCGGTAAGGCGGAGGCTCCCGCAGAGGAGAAACCGGAGTAGCTAGATCGGGAGAGGCAAGAGGAGATCCTACTGACTGAGGGGGTGAAAAGTCTAGGAAAGGTTGCCGATATTTCTTCTTGAGGACCAGGTACTTATCACCCTGTTAAGGAACGTTCACTTTGTAAGAGCGATTCGTTTATGAATGATTTGACAGGAGCGACAGATCCGCGCACATACACGTCACTAAGTTTATTCTATTATATTAATTGCCAAGCAAAAAAGAATCATAAAAATTCCATAAAAATCCTTAATTTTCGATATTACATATTTATCTGAGAAACTTATTTTTCACATAAACTTATATTTTTATAAACTTTGTATATTTTTAGCTACATATTTATAAGTTAATATTTAGTATCAAACTCCGAATAAAAAGGCAAAAGAGCCACGCGCAGTTTTTTGGGCGCAAAGGTATATAATTTAATTCTATATAGTCTATAATCTCTGTATAGTCCTTCAAGATCTGGAATCTAAAGCTCTTGGGTCTCTGAATTATACCCCCCCATTTTTTGTCAGATATGTTGATTTATATAAAATATTTAGAAGTTTATTTTTCACATAAATTTTATATTTTAACCTACAAAATTAATCTTTTCTCTCTCTCTCTCTCTACTTCTCACTTTCTAAAATCTAAATAATACATAGTTCGTTTTACCTAGAAAGTTTAATATCATTTTTCGGTTTATGCGCGAAATCGATATTTCGTACGATATTAACGAGAAAACAAAATTCTAAACTTTATTCACACAACACTACGAATATTTTCATCGCCACCACTGTAGTCAAAACACGTTCGCGCGCGCGTATACATGTTCAAGTCCGTCGAGAAGTTTGTTGTTTATGTTTTTCCATCGTAACGTAAGCTCTCTCTTTCTCTCTCAACCCAGCTTTTTTTATAGATAAATCACAACACACGCACATTCTCGAGATATAACATTCTTTACGATCGATATAACACTACGATGTATAATTTAAGATCCGAGTACGACCGAACAAGACGAATTTGTATAGTATAAACACAACAATAACAACGGCTTCGTATGAAATTTTTTCAATTGACCGCGCGAGCAGAACCGGCAACGTCGCCGAGCGCGCAACAAGTCGCTCCTGTCAAGGAAATGAACGGGAAACGCGACATAGCCCGTATAACCTACCTCCTCGTTTTTTATGGTGGCCAGGGTGTTGACATACTCCTTGAACCGATTCCTCGCTTCCACTGTAACGCAAAATCATACGCTCAAGTCCAAGGCTCGTTCTGCGAGCTGTCGCATGTGTTTACATCGCGGAGGCGAAAACCAGGCGACGCCTCGCGACGAGACAGTCGCGAAAACATGCGACAAGCTGGAAATTTAACCCACCTCGCGTCTCCGGGTCCGTCAGAAATCGCTTGAAATGCTTCACCAAATCGTGATTGCGTGCCGTGCCACCGTTTTCCAGCAAATAATTGCGGATCTCCTCGAGAGACAACTCACCGGGCACCGCCATCTTGAACGAACTAATCGACGATGCGTCAGAGCCACGTACGGCTGTCCGCGAAGCGGGCTCGGCCGGTTGGTAAAAGCGGTCACTGCGATTATCACCGAGAGCGAGAGAAACGCGCCGAGCGTCGATCGACGTCGAGGTAAGAAAGAATTGCGTTATATATATTTATCGCAGCCTCTCTCAGAAAAATCCAAGCGACGATTTGTAGTAGACTAGTACAAGTGCACGTATACGTGCGACATGTTATCGTTCGAAGAGTATATCGTAAAATATTTGCCTTAAATATACAGCGTCGACTCGTACTCGAAATCTCAAAAAGTTAACCATTGATTGAATATAGATTGAATAATTATTGTAAATCTTGTTCTTTTATAGATTTCCATCCACTGATAGAACGCAGAATCATGTTACGTATAAGAGGCTCGCAAAGTAAATGTGAAAAGTTTTGTATCGTAAGCCTCTTCGTGTCGTATACCATCCCCACTCCAGCGACTTTCGGTATGTAGAGAAAAATAACCGGAGTGTTTACGTTTCGGCAGTCTAGCAATAAAAGTGTGGCATCGCATACCATCCCCACTCCAGTGACCTTCGATATGTAAGTAAGAATAAATAGAGTATTTACATTTCGTTAGTCTAGTAATACAACTGTGAGAGTACGGTTCGTTCAATAAACTTTTCCACGATGGAAAGATAAATGTATAATCGCAAACAGTTCGATATCTTGGAAAAAGTTTAAATTTTTCCTTCGTCGTTTTATGCGAAGCGCGATATATTTCCGAAATTATAATACGATGATTTATAGATTAGGCAATTTTGCACATTAAAATTATGGTTGATCGTGGAAGGGACTCTTTACATAAAACAACAAAAGTATCAAAAATCCAAAATAGCTCAAAAATATGGTTTAATCGTGGAAAAATTTGTAATATTTAGTTAACGGTAAATTCTTTTGGCTGAAGAGGACTTGTGAATCGTAGCTAATTTCACTGCTCAAGGTAATTATCCATCGTCATAAATTTATTGCAATCTGTTCCTTTATTTGTATATATATATACACACACACACACACAAGTTTATGTAAATGTTGTGTAACAATGTATAATAATCATGAAATAGTTGCAAATAACTAATTATAATTAAATAATTAACCGTGTGAAAGCAGATAATCTCATCTTGCATAAGTATTATAATTTTTATTTTATCCTTATGGAGATCTATTCTGTTAATTGCATTCAATTGAATAATGATACTCCAATATTCGTTAAAATCGTCGATAAATGTGTGTGTATGGAATATCATATATATTTAATAACCGCGAAAGTATCTATCGATGTTAATGCATCCGACCCGATATTTTATTCATCTGCACAAATAGACGATCCTCAAAGCTTTCGAAAAAGTTATTTCGCGAATTTTCCACGTTCGAACGATGTGGAACTTTCGTTCGTCGATCGGATTAAATACGCGTATTTTAAACCGGTACATATTAATGGAAACGATCGGGAGTGCATTTCAACACTTTTCCGCCATAAGCTCTTTGCTGATCGGAATAGAATCAAAACGCACGACACGGTCTCTTCGAGCGAAATCTTTTTTTTTTTATCAGACGGTTAGGCGAAATTGTAATCTGTCCCTGCCACTGTTTGGCGCGAAGCGCCGTCCGAAACACGCGCCTCTATATTTATTCAACGACCAATTAGTAACCGACGTGATAAATTCTGACTTAATTTACGAACTACTGTAATTTCCCGTGTACTTTTTAAATTGCTTTATAAAAGAAAAAGAGAGAAAGACGCAAAAAATCCGTGTAAAAAGCTTTTGTGAGATCTTTTTTGAGTTTTCATTTAAACGCAAAATTGTTGAGCATAAAAATCGTTAATGAATAAAATGAAGAATAATTTGCTGAAATACTGCATTTTAATATATAAGGTGTTCCAAATAGGTACGATACAAACTCGTATTTCTTGTTAAAAAGTAATAATCTTTTTTCTTTGGCAAAAGATCAAAAAATTTATTTTCTAGATATTTCATTTTTTTTAAAAAAAAGGCAATATAGTTCATTTATTGTTTCTTGATTTTTTATGTGAAAATTTTATTTGAGTGGACATAAAATAAATTCTCTCATGATAGCAAGTGTTTCTGGCTCTTATATAAACAAAGTAGATGTCTATATGTAATATAGCAAATATACTGTATTAGCATAATAAAAAATGAAACATCTCGAAAAAGACGCATTTCCGGAAACGTAAAAAAAAAGAAAAATGCTTGTTTTTTAACAAAAGATACCAGTCTGTACTTTATCTATATGGGACACTCTGTATAAATTCGATTATAATATGTGTGTATACATGTATACTGTGTTACATACAAACACATTGTAAATATTATTGTTACATCTTCTTGTATTTCATATGTATGCATATATTATGATGCGGCTAACATAAAATTAAAGAATATCGCGATACTTAGTCGTGCTCTCTTTCTGGCTTCCGTATAAGGGGTTAAAAACTATTACAGCGCAAATGTGTCGTGTACACTATGGGTTCTCTCTCTCTCTCTTTCTTTCTCTCGTTAGCTGTACAATCACGCGCCTGTAACATCGGCGGTCCTTATTAACAATGCCTCATAATTAAGAAAACGACCTTACTAATCATCCTTGATGTACAGAAATACACGTATAAGACTGAAGCAGGAGTGAGAGGGGGAGGGGTAGAGCAAGAGTGCTAGAAGGGCGGGTATGCGTGCAGCACGCAGGGCCCAGGTACGCGTATGTGTATCCGTGGACCGGAAGCGAGGCGGTACCTTTGTAATTAAACCCCCTTTATCGGCGATATTCTAATGAAACGACGAGTAATGATCGAGCGGGGCCCGCATTGGCGCGGCAATAGTCGCACGAACATTCTTCTTTCCACTTGGACATTCGATACAAACACATCATCTTTTCGCTTCCTCGTAATTTTAAAAAAATTTGTAAGTATCGAAAAAAACTCAACTTTTCACTATATTGAGAAATACACGCACGCATATCTTTTATTTATACTATAAAGATATCAAAGTAGAAAATAATTATGAAGAAAAATTGGGAAAATATTAACTATACAGGGTGTCCCCAACTCACTCTCTTTTCTTAATTCCATGCTCTACAATTTTTATTTCATGGTACTTTTTGATAAATCTAATAATTTTAGTATTGTTTTAAGTTTTTTGGTAAAAATTATTTGTTTCATTTTCTGCGATTTTCTTCAAAACGAAGCAAAAATGAGCAAATCTCTAAAGGACTTTTCGTCTTAGTTTATCGGTCCCCTACACGCTCCCCACGTTTAAATTGGGGATACCCTGTATATCATTATAAATATAATATATGTATATAATTATAATTATAATATAAAATATGTCTTTCTCTCTATAAATATTCTTTTTCTCTTATATACTTTCTGCTGCTATACAGAAAAATAATAAGAATAATCGAAAAGCAATTAGAAAAATAATTTTCGCATTATTTTTTGTATAAAAAGTTGATTAGATTATACAATATTTTATTGTATATATATATATATATTTATATAAGCAATTTTTTCTCATATCTTGTAATCTAATTGCAAGCTTCACCTTTAAAAAAACAACGCGAAAATTATTCATTTAATTATTTTTCAATTATTCTTCTTACAATCTGTTCTGTATAAATAGACAAAGAGTGTATAAGAGAAAAAGAACATATATGTATACATTTGAGGACATATTCCATATATATTTATATTAGCTTGTATATGAATATTTTTTTTCCAGAGATTCACACGAGTCCTGAGGACTTAAAACATCATTTAATGGGGCAAATGAGGAATCGCCAATTCAGCAAAATTGCAAAAGCTCGGAGCACGATTTCTCGAAGAACGTGGACACGCTTAACCTTTTGTGGCGAATCGTCTTACGCGACCAAGGTAGCTCGACACAATTTCGCAGACTCGGTAGGATTGATGCACGAGATTGGACGCGGGAGAGGCGAGTTACTTCCCGCCGACAAAATGCGCGCCGCCGGGGTCGAGGTGACTACGGCCGGGAACGAGGACAAAGGATCGCGTCGACGCCCCACTGGTAAGTGCATCTCCACCCGATATCATCTACCCGTGTTCTACCCGCGTTATGCTTATACGCTCGTGCATATGTAAGAGATGCGTGCGCGCGCCAGCCAGTCGCGCTTTATACGTCCGGTGCGCAAACTGCACGGAACCCCGATGCGTGTGATCTATCGCTCGAGATTTCGAGGAGAAGCCGCGACAATTCCAGCTTCCCTCGCTCTCCCACCGAGTAGCCGTTCGTTTGCATTTACGCGAGAAATAACGGGAACGCGCGGCCCGAGGCCTCGTTTGCGCGCAATTTCGTACGCCTGGAGGGACTGGATCGGGACCCCGGTGGAATTTCTCAGTGTAAGCGAATTCAAGACACGCGAAAGTGATATTTATATTTGTTCGTGCGAGACCCGAACGACGATGATTGACGCGAGATAAGTTGTATACAGAGGGCGGAACGGAAAAGTCGGGCTCTTTCAACGAAAATTATACCCCGTTTAATTCTCGGGTTACGACTATATTTTTATTTCGCACGAGAGAAACGACACGAAGGAGACATGATCGCTCACGCTCGCGATATACTCCGAAAGAAGAGTCCCGTTGAGCTACTTAACGACAAGTTTGTGTTAACTCGCGCACGAGAGATGTAAGCACAAGAGAGGGACAACAATACGAATGTAGACGTTGTATTTCTTACATGAGTCACTTTGTTTTCTCACAATGCAAACAAGAGATTTTTTTTCCCCCGAAACGTCGAGATGTCCTTGCCTCTTCGAGAACTCGCTCCGTTTAAATGCCGACGAGATTCTTCGAGCTGCCGACCTTTATTTTACAAATTTGCATTCGATTATACATTCAAGCAGCAGAAAACACCACTGAAAATATCACTTAATTGACGTAATAATAAATTATTAAATTTCCAAAGATTGATGAATAAATTTTGACATTAAGC